AGTTGCCCAGGCGGGTCTCGAACCCGCGGGTTCAGGCAATCCACTCACCTCAGCCTCCCAAGGCGTGGGATGACAGGCTGAGCCACCGAGCCCGGCTATGCTGAGGATATTATTTTTAAAATTAGAAGAGGAATACACGTTTTAACAAGCCATGCTGTCGTGGAAAGGCCTGTGAGTCTCAACACGCCCCCACTGGCTGTCAAGTGGTCCTGGAAGCGTCTGCCTTAAAAGGATGCTGTGAATGCTACCTTGTATAGATGAATGTACATGCTGTCAGTGGTGAAATCACAAAAGCAGAGCCGTGTTTTGCAGTAGAAGTTGTAGTCGCTCAGTCACCCCGATTTTCTGTGGGCGCCCCCGCCCAAGCCCCGGCCAGTCTGGCTCCCTGTGGGGTCCTCCCTGCCTGAGCCCCGAGGGTGCCACTGAATCTGCTCTCTCTCCTTCTTCACAGCTGCCCATGATGGGAGGAGCATTCATGGACTCACCCAACGAGGACTTCAGCACCGAGTACTCGCTGTTTAACTCCTCCGCCAACGTCCACGCGGCCTCCAATGGCCAGGGCCAGCCGGAGGAGTCTCCTCGGTCCTCCAACGATGCCGTCTTGCTGTGGATTGCCATCATAGCCACGCTGGGGAACATCGTGGTGGTCGGGGTGGTGTACGCCTTCACCTTCTGAGGGCCAGGCCTATCCGCAGTTCCAGGACACGCACCCTGCAGGGTGCTTACCATGGGGTGAGGCTCTGTATGCGGTGCCATCTTGTTGCTGGCCTCTGCTACGCCTGTGTTCTAGAAACAGGAATTTTGACCGGGGCAGCGACCATGCATCCAGAATTCCCGCCCTGCAACCCTGATTTCAAAGATTCCATGCTGTGGTCAAGCTGATTCAGAAAACCCAGGAGGGTGGGCTTTCCCACCCCCGGAGGCTTGACAAGGCGAGGCCTCCACCACGCAGACGGGGGGATTCTTGAAACTGCATTTTGAGAACACGAGACCAGATGGAACAGCCAGTTAGGTTTAAAATATAGACACGGTTTCATGATCGCTTGCTGGCGGTGAGTAATCACTGGTGTGTCTTGTTTTGATACAGACGCATCAAACCTAGTCAGGGGCTGGCACCTGCCACTGCCGCCACGCTTCTGCCCGCCAGCTGCTGTGGAGGTCACAAGAGCAGCTCTCAGACTCTCAGTGTTCCCGACCCAATCTGAGTTTGAGATCCATCTCCTTGGCGTATGGACGGCCACCTGGTAGGGTGGTAGGACTTTCCTAATTTTGATTTAGAAATGGCGTCTTTGGCTGGGGGCAGTAGCTCATGCCTGTAATCCCAGCACTTTGGGAGGCCGAGACAGGAGGATTGCTTGAGCCCAGGAGTTCAAGACCAGCCCGGGCAACATAGTAAGATCTCGTCTCTACCCCCCAAAAATTAGCTGGGTGTGGTGGCACATGCCTGTAGTCCCCAGCTACTCGGAAAGATGAGGCGAAAGGATTGCGTGAGTCCAGGAGATCGAGGCTACAGCGAGCTGTGATCGTGTCGCCGCACTCCAGCCTGGGTGACCGAGTGAGACTCCAACCCCCCACAAAAGAAAAACAAATGGCACCTTTGTCACCAGACACCCGGCCCCTTTTGAGACCCAGGCCCATCAGGACACCCAGGAATGGGGCAGTTCCCAGGGACGTGATGGGGTTTCTGGGGGTGTTGGTGGTGGTTTTCATCTGCTGGATGGACTTCCTCTTCTTTTTAAGACGGGGAGAGGATGTCTTCAAACACTAGGTCTCTGCCAGGCGCCAAGCTTCATTCACAGGTGGGCTGAGAGGGGCGTGGCTGCCGGTGCTCATCAGAGCAGGTACGTGGAGGAGTCAGAACACAGAAATGTTTCTTAAACCCCTGCCCCAGCCAAGAGCCCTCCTGAGCTGCACGGCGGCCGGCTGTTCGAGTCCCGTGTGTTACACTCGGCTTGGACCCAGCGTGTTCTCTGTCGGGTGTGACGTGCTTCTGCCCAGGTCAATTTCCCTACATTCTTAAAAATCAGTGTTTGGGGTCTTGGCTGAGCAGAAAGCCCCCGAGTCAAAGCCAGAGTGGGGAAGCAGTCCTGGGAGGGCCCATTTGAATCTCATCCCCCCGTCCCCCGCCCCCGGGGGGACCCCTCCCTGCCATCACAGGAGCGAGAAGGGTCTCAGATAGCAGCTGACTCGCCGGCAGCCCAGAGCCGCCTTCTCCTGCTTTGTCCCTACACTGGAAAAAACAATGCACAACACGTGGCATCCGTTCCCCTCTGTGGTGGAGAAACCCAAAAGGCTGGTGGAGAAGCCCTTGTGCGTTTTGGGGGACAATAGCAAAGAGGCCGAATCTGCCACTGAGGTCTCAGGAGAGATAAGTGTTGTCGATGACAGTCAAGGGACATCGTAATTGTCTGGAGGCAGCTCTGGTGTCGGAGGGCCCCCGTGACGGCAGAATGACTAGCCTGGCCCCCAGACACTGCCCACTCACGGCCACCAGGCCTCACCGGCCACGCCTGCCACTGCCACCACACATCTGCCCGCCAGTGTTTCAGCTGCTGTGGAGGTCACAAGTGCAGAGAACCCACCTGACCTTGGCAGTGAGGGAGAGGGGGCCAGACCATCTGGGACCCCTGGAATCATGGGCAGGGTCACTGTATCTCAGTCTCCTATGGTTTTCTTATCTGTTTTTCTCCCACCATCACGCAGATAGCAAAGAGGATAGAAGTGCACGTTCACGTCCAGTGAGAGTAAAGGATAGATTTCCAGCCTGAAAGTCTGGAAGTGCACTCCCTTCCCCTCCTCGGGGCTCAGTCTTGGCGGTTAGGTGAAGGGTAAAAGACACTTGACCGCATTGCTTGAGTGTCGTGTCCAAGCGCTGCGAGACTGACATGCATGGACCTACGCCTTACGATCACCACATCGCAGCCCTGCTCCATTGCTCAGACGAGAAAGCAGAGGCTCAGAGGCGTGAAGAGACCTCCCTGTGGCCACGCAGCATGAAAGGATTTGAATCTGGGCTCTCAGGCTCTGAGCCCCCCACCACATCATGCTGTCTTCCGTGACTGGGCAGCACCCCCAAGGCTCATCGGAACCAGGCCCTGCTTCCCCGGGGGGTGTGTCCGACGTGGCCTGGGCCAGCTCTGGCTTTTCTGGGTGCCTCAGAATGGGGCCTGCTCAGCGAGCCCCGCCCCGATGCCTGATACGTTGACCCAGGGTGCCAATGCCCCCTGTTGAAAGTTGAATTCAAGTAGTCTCACGGTCAGGTCCCAGTAAAGCTTCTGGAGACCTGTTTTCTCGGGATGCAGACAGAGCCAACCCCCTGGCTGGCAGAAGTGTCCACACCGGAAGAGGCTCTGGAGTTGCAAGCCAGAGTCAGGACTGCCCTGCTTTGCAAGTTGACCCCAGCCTGGCTCAGGCCTTTTGTTGAGCCCCAGGGGGGACGGTTCCTCCTCCCTCAGCCTCCAGCCAAGGGCCACCATTCTGGTTTCTTTCTGGTAGACCCCAGAGCACCCTCTGATTGGAACAGTTAGTGCCGAGGAAGAAAGGGCTTTGCCTCCTCAGTGGCTGTTCCTCAGAGATGGGGTCCTGCTTTTGCTGGAATTTTCTCTCTGTGCTTGCCCCTCTGTGTCTGTGTCCTCTGCAAGCCACGGAGTGTTCCACACCAGGTTCATTCGCAGCTTGGTCATTAGGGCTTTTCGGGGCTGGGGTGAGCTAGTGGAAAGGTATTAAAGCATGTCAGTGGGGGAGCTTGGCCACTGGGGCGTGTCTCAGCAGAGGCTTTCCCAGTTTGCAAATGTCTATAATCAGGCAACCTGTAGATGTTCATTGGTGCCCGTTAACCAATTAGGAGCGAGGTTTCTCCCCTCCCACAGAGCCTGGAGCCCGGGATGCCGTCTCCCTCCGCTGACATTTCAAAGAAATGGCTCCCAAGTCGGAAGCATTTCCTGGAGGGCACTTTTGTTTCACAAGAGCAACTCTAAGGCTGTGAGTGGTGGCACTGCGGCCTTTGAGAAGAGACCAGGGACCACATTCACCAGGCCTGTCCTAAGGGAACTTGAGCCTCTACAGCCCCCCCTCCCACCCCCGAAAGATGACGTCTCATCTCTGCCCCTCCTCCTCTGAATTACAGTTGTTCCTCTCCTTTCCCATGAAGTCAAGGTCAAGAGGCCAGTGAGACTCTGCCTGGTTCTATGAGACACAGAACCTTCTCCAGGAGTGTGGTTTCCATGATTAGACATATTTCTACTCATTGTTATTCTCACTGCAGCCATCTTCCGCCTCTTCCTTGTGTGTTCTCTCTGTACCTCCTTTACTTTTCAAATCACCCCTTGGGGGCAGGAGTGAGGGTGCAGAGAGGTACACATTCCTTACTCTCCCGTTTTTCAGTTGAGAAAGCTGAGGCCAAGCCATGAGCCTGATGCTGTGATGCAGAGCCTGTTCTGTGGGCTCCAGGGGCTGGGTCACTCCCTCCGTCACCATGCCCACCATGGAGAGCCCTCGGGGAGGCCGGGGTGGAGGTTTGGGCCTCAAGAGCTTGTAACCGGATTGCCATGTTCAAGTGTAAGTCCCGGGAAGGAGCAGGCCCCAGGACAGGTATTTACCAGTGTCAGAACCTCACTGTGATCAGAGGCTTTCAAGAGCATCTCCTCGGGACCTTTGGTTTTCGGAGAGAGCATCTGAGGCCGCGTGGAAAGTTGGAGGGGCATGGAGGAGTCCATTGCCGGCACAGTGTGCATCCAGGAAACAAAGGGATTACCCTGGATGACCGGCCCCTGAGGTGTGTCACGTCCCTGCCAGCTGCCACCCGGCCTGCTCTGCTGAGTCCTTGCAGATGCCCCCTGATTGTCCCTGAGCACGTCCCAGGGGTGGGCTGTGTGGCTGTAATGAGGAGGCCTGGGAGCTCTGTCAGTGGCCCCCGGGGGCAGCCGGTGCCCGAATGCCCCTCCTTCCTCTGGCCCAACCCCTCTGCCCCGACCCGCTCCACGAGCTCTGACCATGGTCACTCATTGGGAGGCAAAGGGCAGAGGGCGGGTGCGCCAAGTACTGAGAGCCCAGAGGGATGGAGTTGGCAGCCTCCAAGCAGGACACAGGGGCCTCTTTGAGAATTCTAGAGCACCTGAATGAAAAGGGCACCCAAGCATCCCCGGGGCTTCCTTCTGAGAGCGGAGTGTGGGCATTGACCACGTTTCTTTTCGAGGGAGAGGGAAGGAGACACAGCACAAACAATACAAACCGTAGTGACGCAAGAAGAGAAGAGATTTCCCTGGAGTGAGAAAACGGCAACCATCAGAAGCATCATGGGATGGTCAAAGAGTACGCAAAATTGGCGACACACATTTGGAGATGGACATCTGCGTGGCTTGTTCTGAGTCACTGCAAAGATCAGAGATGTTTTATCAAGATAGAAAGTAAAAGCAGAAGCCGGGCTCGGTGGCTCAGCCTGTAATCCCATGCTTTGGGAGGCCGAGGTGAGTGAATTGCCTGAGCCTGCGGGTTCAAGACCCGCCGGGGCAACTTGGCGAGACCTCATCTCTACAATAAAGTCAAAAACTAGCTGGGTGTGGTAGCACGCGCCTGTAGTTCCGGCTACTTGGAAGGCTGAGGCGGAAGGATCGCCGGAGTCCAGCAGGTCGAGGCTGCGGTGGCCGGGAGTGGCCACTGCACTCCAGTCTGGGCGACAGAGTGAGACTCCAACTCAAAAAACAAAGAAAGAAAGTAAAAGTAGAGAAAGGCTTGGACCCTCACCCGAGAGAGGCAGAGCCAGTGACGCAGTCCCTGGGGTCCCAAGGGCTGATCCTCTGACCATGGCAGCGAGCTTGTGCTGCCCAGACCAGACTGCTCCCCAGACACTTGACAGGGCCAGTCATCCGCTGCCGGTCCTCCTTCAAGCTGACTTCCCTCCTCCCGGGAGCATGTCTGAGCCCCCGTTCTGCTCTGGGGATAATCCGGACAGACACACAAGGCCCACTGTGGGGCCTGTCTGTTGGAGGAAGCAAAGCCCATTCCACATCGAGCGCCCTTCCACGTGTACGCGTGGCTGAGTGGCCCCTGGTGGCCCCCGTGTCCGTCTCACTGGCCGTCTCTCTGCCCGTGTCTTGGCAAACCAGAGAATCACCGTATTTACAAGTCCAAAAGCACTGTCCCCACAATATGGGTGGCTCTGATAAGGGCTCTATATGCTAGTAGGAACGGGACTTCCAACCTTTCAGCTTGAGGAAATTGAGTCTGCTAGAGGTTTAGGAGTGTTGGCAGGTGGAGCTGGTTGGGAGAACAGAGTCTTAACCCAGGACACCTGGCCAGCACGTTTTCACTAGAAAGCTTCGTGGATGAGTCCGTGAGACTAGTAGTTCTCAACTGGGGACCAAGGGACGTCAGCAAT